ATGATTTTTTATATCAATCTTGTTTGAATTATGTGTATCAGCTACTGATCCAGTGACTGATACATGATGCATAGAGGACCCTAAATTAGGGGTCCGACACTAATGAGGCTCACAAAAATTCAAATCACGTTACTTGACGGATCTCAAAGAAAAACGTGACGCCCTTAGTGCTCGTTAACAAACGACCTGCAACAGATCACTCTAAAAATCAATTGGCTTAGTGACGCGCGGGCAATGGAGGTGCACCTAACCCATCCTCATTATTGTTTTACGGCAAGGACTTAATGATGTGCAACCACTTTACACGTTGGAATACGTCAGGAACCAACTTCTCGAGTACAGCGGTATTTTTTACCCTAGCATGGCATCCACGATGTCCTGGAGGCTACGCTTCCGGTTATCGGGTACAGCACCCAAACGCGACGTTAACAGTGTCCCGAGGGCTACGCCCAGGAAACCATGTTTCCCGATATGGGGTGCACCACCCGAGCAGGCACTTACAGCTACTAGGGAACAACGTTCCTTGATGTACAGTGTACCACCGTCTCCCTCGATGCTTGAAGAAGATTCTCGCTACCCGAGAAATACTCTTGGTACTCGAACAGCAACATACGGACTCCCCAATACTTGGTAATATCTAGTTGCGCTGCTTGAAACTTTGGCACTCGAAGATGCTCACTATGTACTCACAGTACGCAGAACTTACAGGGGAGACTACAACGTCCCGAGGGCTTGAAGATACGTGGTAGCTTATCATTAAGTCCTACGGGGGCTACTGTTAGAGATATGGGCCAGAGGTACCTGCACCGTCCGTATATATGACCACTGCCAAGCTATCGGCCTAGCAGCCGTCAAGGAAGAGGCCCGCAAGGGCTGACACGGTCGACCAACGTGGAGATCAAGGCAAACCAAGGCGTGCATATCTAGAATCAATCTGTTGTAACAAACTAGGAACACAATCTGTTAGCCTTATCGCCCTTCGTGTAACTCTACCTCTCCTGCCTATATAAAGGAGGGTAGGGACCTCGGGCTCAGGATCGACATCATCCATCTTCCGTCGTTTCAATCTACCTCGTAGATAGGAGCAACAACCCATATAATTGAGTATACGAATACAAGAGCAGCAGCACCAATAGAGTAGGGATTAGCGCGCACCGCGCCTCGAACTAGTATAAATTCTTGTGTCTCATGTACTACAATCTGGATCCGTATACGCGATTACGTTGCTAGGCATTGACAGAGCTAAATAATCCGACACATTGGGCTGACCAGAGGGGCCAGTGGTGCCAAGAGAACATTTGAAAGGAGGAAACGAGAGTTTGGAGGTAGGAGTTTTAGAAATATTTTATTTTATTTTATTGATGGAGAGAGTTTTTGTGGGAAGAAAAATGAGAGTACAGAGGGCAGACTTCCACTGATCACGTTCCTAGCCTTTTTTAGTTCCTCTAAACTTCTGAAAAGTGCACTGTACAAAAAGAAGATTCTCCGTCACATCAAACTTACGGTACATGCATGGAGTACTAAATGTAGACGAAATCAAAAATTAATTGCACAGTTTACTTTAACTTTACGAGACGAATCTTTTGAGCCTAATTAGTCAATGTTTGGACAATAATTCACAAATACAAACGAAATGCTACAGTAGAGAATCTTCACTATGCAAAGTTTGCCTACGTAAACTTTATCCAACTAAACACTCCCCTAAAGATGAGTGACCATTAAGCATTAATGAAAGATTATTATATCTTCACCATCCGTCATGACCTGTTCTATAGTTTTCCACTCGAGAAGATATGAACTCTTTCTTCAACTCATTCTTTTATTTTCCTTCACGAATCAAATAATAGATTAAGACTAAAAATCAAATTTGCATTCTTTCTTCAATTAAAATCTATCACTAATTTCCATGGCCCTTGTACGTCAAGCAGTAATTATCAAACGCGCCGCAAAGGTCGTGCCCCCAACAGTGATGTCAACACATGCGCCGCAAACGTCGTAACCCCAATAGTGGTGTCGACGCACGCGCTGCAAACGTCGTACCCCAACAGTGGGGTGGTGCTGATAGTCGAGGTAGATGTGTAGCCGACGTCCGCGCAGGCTGGCCTCGCAGCAGGCGCGCACGTATCCCGCCCGGGCCGTCGGGCGCACACGGTCATGCTCATGCCGGCGGCGCATAACCTTATCCCGAAGAAGGTGACAGTGACACCGCAGCGGAAGGCGTGGCGCAGGCTGTGGCAGCTGTGTCGTCACTCGTGCAATCGGATCTCGAGTCGTGACAGGGTGACGTCCATGATTTCTGTTTGTGGAAAAAGTCGGTAGCCTGGCACATGAATACTTCTCGCCCACTGATGATAGTAACAACTGATGATTGTTAGGTAGTAAAATAGTTCAGGGCATCTTGTAAAGTTTGGATGATTATTAAATACTCTTCCATGCTAAGTATGTATAAATTTTTTTTCTTTTATAGATACATTATTAATCTTATAAGAACTTTAAATTTGAGGCGCTTTACTGTTCCCCAAGACTCAGATCACTGTAGATCAGCACCGGGTGCCGGGTGCGTTATAAACAGTACCGGATTCACGACGAACAGTACCCAATCCAATAAGGAACAGTACCACCCGATAAAGAACAGTACCAACCCGATAAGAAAATGTTACAAACCCGATAAATGAACAGTACAAACCCGACCCGTTCCATTTTTTCCCCGCCCTCCTCGGCGTGGGCACTCACGCTAGTTTTCCTACATTAGACATATTGCACTAAAGGTATAACCATGAGCAAACTCTACGCTCGAGTCTTAGCTTCACATAAGTACATACAAAATCAAGTTCCTGCTCGTGCTTCCAATAAGACTTGGCCCTTCATTGTTCTTCTCAGGCCTCGTTTAGATTGGGGTTAGAAATCAGTATTTAATAGAAATCAGTATTTAATATTGTAGCATTTTCGTTTGTATTTGACAATTATTGTCCAATCATGGCCTAACTAGGCTCAAAAGATTCGTCTCGTAATTTACAATCAAACTGTGTAATTAGTTATTTTTTTATCTACATTTAATACTCCATGTATGTATCAAAGATTTGATGTGATGGAGAGAAAGTGAAAAAACTTGCAATCTAAACAAGGCCTCAGTACATTATTTAGAACAGGTATTCCTGACGACATCTGCAGGAGAGTGCCACGCCAATCGCATCATCATTGTTTGCTTTCAAGTATTTTTAGCTCTGCTTCTTTGGTGTATCAGCATACTTCCAGGTGGCATGTTGAAAGGAAGCGAATTGTCTTTCACCAGCCACATCTTCTTCACGTATCTGGCTGCCCATTTCTTTCAGATCTTCGTCTGTCAGTTTCACCTTCAAGGAGTCAATGTTGGAATCTAGATTCTTGATTTTGGTTGTCCCTGAGAAATTGTAGGAAACATCTGTCAGTGACTAAATACAGGACTATCGGAACATATAGCCATTAAGCATGACTACTGACGACTTGCTTTGAACTTGGACAGGCCCAATAAGTGCAGAAAGACTCAATAATAAGTCAGTTAAATTACACCATGTTTCAAACCAACAAAAGTGTTTCATAGCTCAGTAAAAGAGATCATATGGCACAAACTATTCAACAGGCTATCATGCACACACATTAGGAAGGAAGGAGGTTACTTCCCTTCGAAACAAGGAAAGGTTGTTTGACTGGATGTGTTCCTCTACATTATTGTGGTTCTCTGCCAAAGCAGACTATATAATAATTGAAAAGGGTTACTCCCAAATCATACTACTTAAACTATTTCCAATCATTAATAATGGTCTATATATGAATATGATGCCATACACTTTTCTGTCAAAGTGTATACAAGAAAAAGGTGTCTGGAAATGCATCTTTGGGTGAACAACTCTGTGACTCATCAGCCTGGAAGCACTGACCATTGTCGGTGATAAGAGAATGAGATTATAAGGCCACACCTGGTATAGGAACCACATCATCTCCTTGATGCAGAACCCATGCTAAAGCCAGCTGAGCAGGGCTGCAATGGTGCTTATTGGCCAGTTCTTCCATTCGCAGATAAATTTGCTTGTTCCTCTCCAAATTTTCTGCTGCAAACCTTGGGTGCCCATGCTGACAAGCCAAAGTTAAATCTGTAAGTGAACTAAAAAAGGTTTTGATACTGACCAAGAGATGATTTTTTTTCTTTTGCAATGGAAGAAAGAAACAATATTCTGAGGTAGACTGTATCAATACCAGAACAGATTCGGCGGACACTTGTTCTTTCACTCCTCTCCCACCGAAAAACCCACGGCCAATAGGACTGTATGGCACAATTCCAATGCCCAGTTCTCTGAAGTCCACAGAGCAAAAAGAATCTTATTACATGATAAATATCCGGTAAGGACCAAGGAGTCAGGACCTCCATGGGCTGGAACATAACAATCTGCAATCCATGAACCACCTGCAGAGCGGCACAATTTCGGGCTCAATGTCGCGAGACCAGAGAGACCACTCCATCTGCACCGCGGCGATCGGGTGCACAGCATGTGCGCGCCTAATGGTGTCCGGGCTCGCCTCTGACAATCCGATATACTTGACCTTCCCCTCTTCCACCAACTTCTTGAGCTCGCCAATCTGCAATGATTTGGAACAAAGAATTCACATGAGCAAACACACCAACAACGCCGACTGCTTTAAGGCTGGTCGAATGTGCAGGCAGGCTGCAGAGACCGTCTCCTCGATGGGAATTGTGGTGTCAATGCGGTGTTGGTAGTAGAGGTCGATGCAGTCGATGTCGAGGCGCCGCAGGCTGGCCTCGCAGCAGGCGCGAACGTACTCCGGCCGTCCGCAAATGGTCGGCGCGCCCGTCTCGTCACGCCGTATAACCCCGAACTTGGTGGCCACCTGCACCTGCTCCCGCGGCAGCTGCTTCAGCGCCTGCAACACAGGCAGCGATGTCTTCCGCGGATCAGTAAAAGTTCACGCCCATAACTCCAAGAAAAAGGAGAGTGCGAACGGACCTTGCCGAGGAGGATTTCGTTGGTGAGGGGGCCGTATACGTCGGAGGTGTCGAACAAGGTGACCCCGCGGCTGAAAGCGTGCGTGATGACGGCGATGCCGGCCTCGTCGTCCACCGGGGAGTTGTACGCGCCCGTCAGTCCCATGCACCCGAACCCTAGCTTGGACACCTACATGGATGGCAATCGGCGGAGTCGATTCAATCAAAGCACCGGGCTAGCGGACAACGAGAGAGCGGAGGCACAAGATAATTCGGGGAGAGGTGAACGGATAGAGACAAAGCGACCTCGAATCCCTGGGTGCCGAGCTTGACGCGGGGAACTGGAGGGGCTTGGTTATCCATGGCCGCTGCTCGCCGGTTAACTGAAGGAGGAACGGTGAAATGAAGTTTGGTTCCAGGAAAAATAGCAGCCACTTCTGCGAGATTTTATAGGGCACATGGGTACATACTGTATTACAATAGATTAAGACTAAAATTCATAATTTCCTCAGTCAATCTAATTTCCATGGCCCTTGTCAAGTACTTATCTAAAGGTCGATCGTGCCCCCAACAGTGATGTCACCGCAAACGTCGTAAGCCCAATAGTGGGGCCTTGTTTACATCACCTCTAAATTCTAAGTTTTTTCACTTTCTCTCCATCATATTAATTTTTGGACATATGCATGGAGCATTAAATATAGATAAAAAAAATAACTAATTGTACAGTTTGGTTGTAAATCACAAGACGAATATTTTGAGCCTAGTTAGTCCATCATCGGACAAAGCTTGTCAAATACAAACAAAACATACTACAGTGTCCAGGATTACAAAAAAAAAAAAATTACAATCTAAATCAGGCCTGGGTGTCTACACACGCGCTGCAAATGTCGTGCCCCAAAAGTGGTGGCGGTGCTGATAGTCGAGGAAGATGTAGCCATGTAGGCATGTAGCCAACGTCCCCGCAGGCTGGCCTCGCAGCAGGCGCGCACATATCCCGGCCGAGCTGTCGGGCGCCCACGGTCGTGCTCATTCCGGCGACGCCCTGCCTTATCCCGAAGACGGTGACACCGCAGCGTAAGGCGTGGCGCAGTCTGTGGCAGCTCTGTCGTCACTCGTGACATCGGATCGTGAGTCGTCACAGGGTGACGTCCATGATTTCTGTTTGTGGAAAAAATCGGTAGCTTGGCATGAATACTTCTCGCCCACTGATGATACAACAACTGATGATTGTCAGGTAGTAAAAAAATAGTTCACGGCATCTCGTACAGTTTGGATGATTATTAGTTACTCTTCCGTTCTAAATTATATAAAACAATTTGAATTTTATAGATACATTGTTTTTAATATATATATATATATATATATATAGACACAATGCATATCTAAATAGATAATAAAAGCTATATATACCTAGCAAAGCCAAAACGTCATATGATTTGAAATGGAGGAAGTAGTAAAATATTTGTAGAATTGAGTTGGATTTTTGTCATTCATGTTCCTGTACGCTCAGGGTTTCATGCTCTTCGGGCTAGTTTAGCAGGGCTTCTAGAACGGCTTCGATTCTAACTGAAGTTCTTGTAAACAATCATTCAAAAAATAACTTCGGCGAGAAAGGCTAGAGGAGCTTAGAAAATATGGTTTCTCCATACTCCTCTCACAAACTTGACACAAATCTATCCCTAATAATAAAGAGCCAAAATTTCTAGTACAAAATCTTTCGTCCAACTAAGACATTGACTCGATTATCGTTTACGTTTTTCCGTTTTCATGTTCGAGTCCTTTTTCTTTTCATGGATTTTTTCTTTTTCCCGGGCCTCCCTTAACTACTACACAGACGGTGGTTTGACAATGAGTTAGAGACGAAAGCGGATCAAGTTCAGCCGCCAAAGATTTTTCCAAATCAAATCCACCACGGACAGGTCTCCCGATGTGGCACAACGACAGATTCATGACGGGGACACGAGTTGGGATGACGTTCCGAAGCACACCGGATCATCGAGAGGATGCAGACGGCAATCGTGACGCAGTGGAGCTGCAGAGATCCGCGACGCGACATTGGGTGCAGCTTCCTCTAAAGCTTGGCAGCTGCGCGGCACTGGTTCTACTGCACGTCGTGGTGCTGGGGCGGCTGCGCGGTGCGGCGCTAGGACCGGGGACGGCGGCGGCGGCGCTGGAGCCGGACGTTGGAGGTGGAGTGGTACAGTGCTAGGGCCGGGTGCTGGCGGTGGGCGGTGGTGCTCTGGTTTCTCCTGTACGACAGCTCTATGCTCTATGTGTCGGATGAATGAGTAGAGTCGATGGGAGAAGAGAGAAATAGACCTGGAGTCCGATGAGCCATGTCCTAGTAATGAGATAGTCAATGCAAATGGACCTACAACCCGAACGCTAGAATGCATTCATATTTTCTTATCAAATATATAAACCATTAGCGTCAATATTCTCCGTGCAATCTATTTTTTAGGAATCCATGCAATCTAAAATTATAGTACTAAATATTTATATAAATAAATATATCAAAATCATGTTCCCGTTTCATAGCTACGTTCCAGCTATATCGTCCAAATTATCTAGGGACCACGTTCCACTCTTCAAACCAATTGTCCTAAAGGGATATACCCTCACGAACCTAGAACTTTTTCCGAATTTTTTGTTTTTCAACCCTTTTTTGAAAGATTTTCACAAAAAAACCCTGGTAATATCCTTCCAAAAAATAGACCCCGACCTCGGCGCCGTGACCATTGGCGCCGAGCTTACATGTCTCGACGCCAATTGCTTTGGCGCCGAGATCCAGGGTCATTTTCTGCGTGTCGTTGACGTGGTTGCTTGCGTGGCGCGGACGTGGCATGAGCTCGGCGCTGTAGTAACCGGCGCCGAGCTATCGAAATTGATATATATATATAGAGAGAGAGAGAACTACTACCCTGTGGCCACAAAATAACTTATTCTGTAGCTACTTTGAGTTACGATAATTACTATGTTAATTTACGATATTATAGTAAATCCTTACTAAGTGGTTTACTATAACGTTATGTTAAATATCCCCATGTGTTATAGTAATCCAACTATTATAAATATGTATTGACATTATCGTAAATTAACATATAAAATTATCGTAAATGGAGGTAATCACAAAATAACTTATTTTATAGCTGGCTACTGAATATATATATATATATATATATATATATATATATATATATATATATATATATATATATATATATATATATATATATATATATATATATATATACACTGTATCAGGAGAGGACCTGCGTTCTGGTGCATCCCTGGTACTGGTAGTCGTATACAGCCAGAGGTCGGAGTGTGTGCACACACTGTATATATCGTACAAAGCTACACTTCTAGAAGCTACTTCCTTTATCCCAAATTATAAGACGTTTGACTTTTTTGACGTTAAATTTGATCACTCGTCTTATTCAAAAAATTTGTACAAACATAGCCAATTTTAGTCATTCTTGAAGAACTTTTACTAATAAAGCAAGCTAAGACCAAAGAAGTGATATTTTGCACAAATTTTTGAATAAGACAAGCGGTCAAACTTGGTGTCAAAAAAATCTAATTTGGAATGGAGGAAGTAGCATATATCGAGTATGTATCCGGTACGCGTTTGATACGTCGTGGATGTGTATCTGAGAACGTATCGCCTCTGATATATATGCGTATCGGACGCGGCTGCCAGCATCGGATACAATACAACGCCTCAAGGCGTCTGGACTCTCCCGGCATGCGCTGGCCGCATTTGCCTGTCCAGGGCTATCAATAAGGTAGGTAATTTATTTTAAAAAATTGCATTAAATCTTTCATCATATACTATACTATAGTACTAACGAACAAGTATTTGGTATGTTATTTGCAAAACATCGCATTCATAAATAATAAATTAGGTTACAGGTTCAAGGACACATGCAGTACAAGTGGCAATTCTAATTTCAGACTTCCACCAAATCATTTGTGAAGAATATATCTCCATTTTTTCTCCAGCACGAGCGATGAATGTTGTGCATTAATAGGTTATTAAGTAAACTTAGTTAGTTATTATATAGAATGGAAATCGTATCAATCTGACATATATAAATGGAATCGTATCAATCTGCTCCTTGCCTCGTATACTCCTCATAAGTCATACCCCACGGTGACACGTTTTTCCTTTCAGAAATCCTTTTTCTATAGTTAATAGTTAGTGCTACTCTTTTTTGCATTGATCGTTAAATACTTTTCGACTGTTTATGTAAATAAAAAATGGATTGTAGATTGTTCTTGCCAAGAAGTGCTGGTCGGGCTTCCTTTGTGAGGGACTTTGTCTAGTCCTACCAAATGTCCTATCAAGAATGTGTTTTGTCGTGGTAAAGACAAAACAAAACATCTCAAATCAATTTTGTCACCTAGTGTATAGGTGAAGTAATGTCTTTCATAGAGATGCAAGTGGGTTTATCTGTGAACCAAAAATAAATTTAATTTTTTTGGGTTCATGGAAAACCCACTTGCATCCCTATTTTTTCATATTGAACGCAATAGTATGTAAGGTCTCAATCTAATCATTCTTAAGTTTTTTTTACTTGATCTAGACCACTATAATATTGATCAGTTAATGAAATGTGGCAACGCGGAGCGTCGGAGCAGACAGAAAAAAGAGAAATGAAAACTCTATTGCCTATGTAATATGTATATTAACGATTGAAGCCTGCATCTGATATTCTGATGATGATGCTAATCTACTGTTAACATTTCATCACACGGGAAAAACAAAAGTCGAACACTATATTACAATTAGAGGATTAGGACCTCGCCGGTGCCCAGTTAACTACAACTAGGATCAAAACAAGAGCTACGGCTGCTACGACGGACCTTGCAATGACTGATTCCAGAGCTTTTTCCTCACGATCAAGACTCTTTCGTCACCTGTTGTGAGCGCATCTTTCTTAGGTCTCACCTCAAATGTCCAGTCATCCACCTTAGCGCTGGTAAAAGCTTCTTGATGTAGTTAACGACAGCAGCTTTGTCTCTGATGATGGCGTACCCATAAGGCCTCAGGATGCGGTCCATCTCAATCAGAAGATCCTCCAGGCTACATCCCTGCTTCTCTATCTCAGAAAATAGGAGCCAGGCGTGAAGGAGGTCGTAGGTGCGCGGGTATGTGGAGAATGATTCACACCTTCAGTTAAACAAATCGTAGATAAAGAAAAAAGGAAAGAAGCAACAGGGCAGGGCACCAGGATCAGATGAGTTGATAGGCCTAACTTTTTTTTTTTCATTTTCCCCCAACGAGCCTGATGTTTTTAGGTTTTGTGTAATCATAATAACAATGCAGATAATTTTCTAATGGATAGAACTATGGCCTCAAGGCTCAAACACTATAGCCACATGTTCCAAAATATGACAGCCAAACTACCTAATTTCTGAAAGGGGAGGGGTGATATGCTAGTTGCACAGATTAAGAATTACACACGGTTGCATCTTAGAAATCAAACAAGATAATATCACCCCTCCCCTTTCCACACATGAAAACGAATTTATATGGACAACCATGAGAAAACAAGTTGATAATTTATATTTATGGCTAATTAATTGCAGACTATAGTCATGCAATCAAACTGTTATCTGCATGCCACAAGAGAACATAAATGTAACAGTTCTAATTTCTAGGTATGCAAATTCCACCTTGAAACAATTAAATAAATAGATGGAAAGTACGTCAAAAAATCTTACCAATCGTGGGTAGTCCCCATTAAACCACGATCGTATATAACCTTCAGCTTTCCAGATTCCGTGAAAGGAACTACATTCATTACCCAGACATCCTTTTTCTTCAGAGATGCTGCAAATCCTCCAAGGTTAGTACTCATATCCATAACATTTCTAAAGGAATCCTTTCGTATCTCAGACTTCATGTGCTTCCAATATTGAATTACTCTAGAATGCCAAATGTCCTGCAAATAATATTTCAAGGTTAAATAGATCACCATCAGAGAGGGTATGTGTGGTTCAGTGGTTGTGTGCCCATGTTGCAAAACGCTGATGTTTCATACTGCAGCCAGCTAATCCGAACCTCGTCCCTGCTCCTCGTCCACCTGATGGGCACCTAATCAAGCATCGCGCGGGCGTGCACATCACATCAGCGTGAGCATTAGAGCAACACAAACAAGGTGCAAGTGCAACACGGCACTCTGCAATGTAACACACGGTGGCTTCTACCTCACCTGGTATCCGACGGGCGGTGGGATGAGGCAGTTGAGGCGGCGCGGCGCCGGTGGGCAGTGGCGCTCGTAGTGCTCCATGAGGGAGAGGTTGAGCCGGAGCCGGAGCTGGTAGTGGAGGCGCCGGTCCAAGCACGGGATCAGCTCCGAGTGCCGCGCGTCGCACACCTGTTCGATTTCGAACCCCACGACACACGCACGCGGGGTCAGCACTCAGCAAAGCGCAGAGTCACAGACCGCTCATCACGACTCCGTTAACGAAACAAGCAGAGGGCGCGGGTGTTGGGCGGCCGCGGTGCGCACCGGGATGAAGGAGACGACGAGGTCCGCCGGGAGCGCTTCCGTCCCCTGGGCCCGGAACCGCAGCCAGAGGGGAAGGCGAGGGTGCGCGCGGCGGATGGAGGGGGCGAAGGCTGCGCCGTAGAAGAGGCAGAGAAGCGCCAGCGCGACGACGGCCGCCGCGAGGAGGGACGCGAACGCGCGACGGCCGAGCGCGCCACCCCCGCCTGCTCCCCTGCCCTGCGGCGGCGGCGGCCTCATTGCCGTTCCCGCCTGCGCCGCGCGGCGTGGCGTCTTTACTTCACTGGTGGGACGGCGTCGGCACGAGTGGTGGCGGCGGCGGAGCGGGGCAGCGTGCGTGGGGCTCACCTCGCTCGCTGCTTGGGCCTGACGCACGCGGACACGGAACGGCGCAGGGGGGAAATCCGTACTGGCGCCGCAGTAAATGGCGCCGAGATGCATGACGCCGAACAATGTCATATCCGTGTTGCGCAAGCAGCCACATCAACGACACGTAAAAGATGACTCTGGATCTCGACGTCAATTACTTTAGCGTCGAGTAGAGGCGGATCCAACGGTGGGGCGGGGGCTGGGGCTCAAGCCCCCCTACCGATACCGGAGCAGTGGAACTCCTAGAGTCTTTATTAATTTTTAGGCAAAGTTTTATAGTGTAGGTAGGGCTGAGACTTAAGATCGAGTAGCAGTCGAAGGTATGTTGCTATCGCACTTTTGTTCAGCCCCTTAAATTTTTTTCTGGATCCGCCACTGGCGCCGAGACGTGTAAACTCGACGCCAATTGTCATGGCGCCGAGGCCAGGGTCTATTTTTTGAAATGATACTGCCAGGACGTATTTGTGAAAATCTTTCAAAAAAGGGATGAAAAATAAAAAAATCAAAAACTTTTTTATCATTATACCTGTTTCTCGTACCCTTCGTATCGGGAAGTTTGTGACACTCGTACAAACCAAACCAAAAAAAACTGAAAGCACCAACATGTTCGATCCGCTGTCCCTGGACTTCTAACGTATAAATTAATTGAACAAATTGTAAAATTATATTTACACAAATAAATGATTTTTCCTTTTTTAACATGACTCCCACGAAAACATTTATTTTTTCTCATTGTAACGCACAGGTATATTTGCTAGTTATAACAAAATTATCACTTGAGCGGTTTTTGCCGAACATTTTCTAAAATGAATTTAGCTTCATTAGAGAAGATGCTCCACAGGCGGAGCCAAAGTCGACCAGAGTCTTACCAAATTGACCCTTCTTCTGTGACAGAACCGTCCGAAATAACATATTTACGGAGACGCTCGTCTTCCACCAGACACTAAGCACCCCGAAAGTGAGCTACAACGAGCGGTATCCGTCGGGCACACCCCAAGTGAGAACCCGAAAGATCCATATTTTTTCCTAAGGATCCAATAATGAAAATAAGTTACAATACTTAATACATTTCATACATCCAGAGTTCATAAAAGGTACATTATTACATTTCCAAAGTCAGAGTGCGGAATATTAAACAGTGGAATTTAAAAATAAACATCTAGCGATAAGGAACGAGAATCCGTCTGTGACCACCAGAAGAATCCTCCAAACAATGGTACTCTTCAAACATTACCTGCAATAGGGGTAAATAATTCTGAGTATACAATGTACTCGCAAGACTTATCCGACTAGTGGGAATAATTTCCCGACTCTAAGGAATATGATAAGTTTTATGGTTTACTGGTTTTATTTTTGCAGAAAGCAATACTAATAGTGAGTTCTTATTGATGTTATTATTAATAGCCGTATTAATTTAATTTCTAGCCATTCTATGTAATCACATGTTCTACTTTCAAGCAAGAGTTGAACAATCAGTTCTATTTCATCACCTTCTATCTTTCAGTTCTTACTACGATGCTAAACCATAGACAAGCCATACTGGATCGTCCGGCGATTCGCGAATCAATACTCCCAGCTGGGTACCCCGAAAACACACGCCCTCTTGTACCCTAGGCACAAGCAGAACTAACCCATCACCCTCCTATCCTGGATGTCCAGGTCCCCGTTCAAACTTGGACTTCAATCCCCCACTCCTGAGTCCTGGACTCAGTGCGTTGCAAAGACCTCCATCATCCCCGCTTCCAATCAGTCGGTCCGGAAAGAGCCGGATCCATGACAAGAGAGCAACGAGTCTTCTCTACGCCCATACCCCAAGTATGTGCTCGGGATAATAAGTCTATGACTTGTCTAGAGCCATATGTAACGACCGGTCCTTAATCGACACAGACAGGAAAAAAGTGTAACCAAGCTATGCCCTGTTGGTCGTAGGACACAACCTCTTACACCCATCAGTATCCAAACCACATCCCTGCCCGGTCACCACTTTTTCTTTCCACCATTTTATCATGAGTGATCATATTTATCATCTATTTGTGAGTAACGGCAGATTACTCGCGCTACCGATAATATCCAGAGCATAGCAGCTACTCGACCTATACTAGTAGCACTCATAGGTAGATATATTGATGCATGTAGTTTTCATAAAATACCTGTAACGTAAATGCACATCATATATATTCAGTGATCATTAAAAATAGAGATTATGCACCGAGACAACACTTACTAATACGACAACAGCAACTCTTAAAATAGAAATTCATCTATCAAGCTACTAAGCGAGCTCTACCAACTAAGGTGCTAAGTTACCTACTGTTACCTCTAACAAGTATGAAGCATAACATATTTTATCTTAGCAACTGAAGGTATTCTTACTCCTAATACTAATTTACTTTATATATGATAAAACAAGAGTAATAGCTACTCTATTTATCAACCTACTATAGGACTACAAAATTTACAGCAAGTACATAATAATCTAATGAGCCTACTATAAAAATTTCAAAGCTAAAGCTATCACCAATTTACCACAAGAATTCCTACAAATATTAAGCTAAATAATATTAAGCTTTCCAATTTGAATTTATGAATCTATCATTCTCATAGCTAACTGTAAACTAACTATACCAACAGCTAGATAATATTTTTGTGAATCTAACAAATTTTGTTTCAATATTTTTGGACATCTATAAGATTTACTACAATTTATCAAAGTTTAGCTTAAAACTTAATTGAATAAACATTTATACTTTACTGGAAATTGGAAAAACGTATTCTACTGCGCGGCCCAAGCTCGCGACGTGGCCCACAACCGCGCGGTGCACGCGCATGCTCGCGCACCACCGGCGCAGCCCACGTAGAGGCGTGGCCCAGCCGAGCGACGGTGACCCGTGACGAGAAGGCCCGCGCGCACCGAAATATTTGCTAAAACGTCCTCCTTCTCCTACCGAATCTAACCAAGGTCTATAGTACTATTTCTTCAGTCAACTATCTTACGAATATGACCCTCCCCTTTTCCTTCTTTACCACGGTCGAGTCCCCCAGCAAGCTAGCACCGGGCGGCCACGCCGGCCACACCAGACCCTCATAGCCCTATCTAAGAAGCCAATGCTCACCTAGACGCCAACCCGAAGTGGTGGGAGGTGAAATGGTGAACGGATACGCTGTCCCAAGCTCCCTCCACGGCGGTGGACTCCTCCCTGCGACGGCGACCACGTTCCTGTGAGCCAAGGCACAAACAACGTGAACGAGCTCAATAAGGAGCACCAGCGACTCACCCCGAACCTACTAGTCGTGGAGGATTGACCGAAGACGGCCCGAGCCAAGCCGGCCACGTGCGCAAGGACGGTGCGGTGATACGCCTCGACGGTAAGATTGCGTCAGGGTGTTGAGCAGGCGGCAGTAGGGCGACTTGGGGTGCGCACGGGATAGAGGGAAATGGGGTGAATACACAGTGCCAACTGATTGGACGGAGGTGGACGGGGCTAGGTGAAATGGACGGGCACTACCACGGGGTCTTAAAATGGTCGACGGCGATGGAATCGTCAAATTGAGGCTCGGCACCGGCTGGAAGTAGCAGTGGAAGGGTTCGACACGTAGCTAGGTCCCTACTCCATCCTTAGGCGCACGCAATTTCATGGATTTGGCCGGCGCTGTGAGCTTGCCTAGGCGCGGTCCGGCGACAGAGGAACAGGGAAGGTAGGCAAGTTAGGCTCGGCGCTGTCGCGGCAAGACGTGGCCGTCATCTCAAAGCACAAGCGCACACGGGCGATGGGGAACAGCGAGACGTGCACAAGACGCTTGGCTGCAATGCCATAACCCACAAGCTAACGGCGGCTCGGTACTGCGCCATAGTGGACGGCGCCGGCCAAGGGAGGCAATAGCGCAGCGTTGATGAGCTGAAGTGATGGTAAGAGTAGGCGACAATCCCACGCGCTGCAAGGCGATGTGCGGGTAGAGCCAAACGTGGCCACGCGCGCACGGTACCGTCGGGTAAGCGCGAGGCGGCAGAGCTGCCAGGCGGACGCAACAGCGATCGGCGGAGCAGGGCCAACAATGACGCGATGCGAGTGGCCTAAGGGCACAGCAGCGACGTTGACACGGTGCACGGCGCAGCAGTGGGAGGCATAGCCGCACTACTCAGGCAGCCGTCCACCGCGGCCAACCAGACATAGCCAGGCACGCGTGTGCGCAACCGACGCACCGACACGGCACAGGGCAGTGGTGACCGTGGCCAAACGCGGAAATAGACCAGAATCCTCACGCGCATGACTTTTAAAGCGTTCCCAGAATCCAACCCGATGATTCAAATGCCAAACCAGTTTTTCTATACTCAAGAGGTACATAGGACTACCAAACTAAGCCAAAACATCTTGCCACTACTTAACCCGATTTTCCTATAAAAATTCCTAAACTGAGCTTCGTCGAACCATTTCTCGACTTAGGAATTTCAACCAAAACACGATCGGATTCATGTCGAATTTGATTTCCAAGCTATGCGATACACTAGCCAGCGAATCCCGTTCTCGACCGCATGTATTTCATCGCCACCTACGAAGTTCGTACTACCAACTTTATTAAAGTTTTGTATAGGCATCCTATAGCATTTTCGTTCAATAAAAATTCACTTAGAACCCTAAGCGATACAACGCGATATGAAATGTAACATTTGTTTTGTGTTTTCGATGAACATTTCAAGTTCCATATATTGCTTTACACTCTATAACTCATACATTTACACATAAGTATGATGCTCATGCAGTGTTTTAGCAAAAAGCTATATAGTGTAACACCGAGGGTGTTACAAATCTACCCCATAAAACAAAATCTTGACCCGAGATTTCATGTGCCTAGTGTGAGAAGGAGATAGGAAA